CTGCGGCAAGACTGTCGCGATTACTTATGTATATAAGACAGCGTTCAGACTTGTCGCGCTGCGCCGCGATGCAACTGCAGCGATACGCTGCGATGGAACTACCGCGATGCAGCTGCGCGATGCAACTGTACCAGACCCCAGCTTCCCTTTATGTTCTTTCTTCCGGTATTCAATCCCTTTTTCACTGTTTCTCATTTCTACCTGATTCTTAGCTCCTCTTTTTCACTTTAACATTGAATTTTAATGTAGTTTTTGATACAGGACACTGTGATAATGATTTTGTATACCGTTTTCGACTTTAATTATTCAGTCTCAGGGTTGCTATGATGTTTGATGTCTTGCAGTGGTGCATCATGTTGATCCCGATTACGAAAATTGAAATTGGAAACGATATACAAAACCATTACCACAGTGTTGTGTATCAAAAACTACATTAAAATTCAATGTTAAAGTGAAAAAGAGGAGCTAAGAATCAGGTAGAAATGAGAAACAGTGAAAAAGGGATTGAATACCGGAAGAAAGAACATAAAGGGAAGCTGGGGTCTGGTACAATTGCATCGCGACGCAGCGCGACAAGTCTGAACGCTGCCTAAGCTGGTTTTCTCGATTCATTCGGAGTCACCAACCGATGTGGAAAGTCCCCAAGACAAAACAATGTTCGCGTAAACTCGGGTCGACGGGGTATTTTGGCGACACCAGTTGATTCCTGTAAAACTGGGAATCTGTGCAAGCAAGCCGTTTCGGTTATAGAAGTTCGCAAGTCTTAAGCTGGCCAGCACAAGCTTCGCTAAATACCATCTGTTTATCCCAAATACCATCTGATTATCCCATTATCCGATTCAAGAGGCGGAGGTGGTGCAGTGACAAGTGGCGCGCTTACCACTCGCTCGGCGTTCAAATCCCGGGTCGACTCCCGCCCAGGCCAACCAAGCCTTCTACCCTCCGGGGACGGTGAATTGGTACCAGATTCGTCTGGGAGGATAAAACACTGACTTGTACATCGGCTGGCCACCGCAAGTCATTGTATAGGCCACATCGCATTCACCACTACGATTCTGAATGGAAGTAGAATGCGTGCCGCATCCCACAAAGGGATTGATCAACGGCGAAGACTTTATCCTTTTTTATTTATCCCTTCAAGTCGAACTACTTCGAATTTTCTTTCTTGAGGGCTATGTGGTGAAATGAAATCGAATTCCAATAAACTGTGGTGAGGAATGCGATTTCGCAATTTGTATACTTGCTTTGTTAAGGGTAAAATCGTGGTTGCCCACAAGCACGAATCGAAACTTCCGATTGGACCAGAAGACAGTCTGCACTGGCGCACGGTGAGTTGAGTGAATGGAACATGTTATTTACAAAGTCTCAAAGCTGAGGGGTCTTATTGAAGGCCTTTTCGGCTACTTTTCTTCGCTACTGAATTACTTAGCAACTCAAAGGCAGTAGGTACGATGGCTGGGGGCGGGCGGTTACTGCCAACGTTACTGGTGGAAGGGCTACGAGGGCGCATTTGGCCACACCTACGTACCCAGCCCTTCCACCAACGGTTGGCAGTAACCGCCTGTCCCCTAGCTATCGTGCCTATCGCTTTAATTCAAGCTTCGCGCTACGCTCAATTTGTAGTCGATTGGAAGCACACATTTAAGCGGGAGAGGGCCGACTGTTTACCCATACTAATGACAAAATGCAAGCATCCAATAGTTGTGACGATTCTCGTCCGAGACCTGAACGATCACTGTTTTGCTTCAGCTTCGGCATCTGGATCACGAGAATCTGAATCGATTCATAGGGGTGTGTCGAGATGGACCCCAGATGCTTTCTATATGGAAATACTGGTCACGTGGAAGTATTGATGACGTGATCGTGAAGTATTCATCAAGAATCGATGGATTTTTTGTGTTTGCATTCATCGAAGACATGTCACATGTGAGTAGTTTCTCAAAGAAGTGGTCCGCGATGTCCAAGGATAATGTAAAAGATTGTGTGGAAAATGTAATATGGTCAGCCACATATACAACCTTGTGCGATGGTGAAAAGTATGCGAGGTGCTAAGGGTCGAAGCTTTTCAAGTAACACCTCCTTTGTACAGTGACCCCGCCCCCAGACTCCTTTGGAGTCCGCTTTCCGATACTAGCGGACTAGTAGCATGAAGTGCATACGATGTCGAGTATGCACTGCTCCGGAAACGGAAGAAATCAACAATCAAAAACTTGCTCATAGGCCCCAATACGGTCCTCCATCCATGCTGTGCCGTAGTGGGGAACTCAGCTCACAAGGTGATTGAATCTTCTCCTTCTCTTCTTCTTCTTCAGCGTTTGTCCCGCTCGATGGCCGGGTCCGTCCTCGCAAGGTGATTGAATACCAAGCCAAAAAAGACCCACTCTCTATGACTCCATAGAATCCCCGTCGAGCAGTATTGAAAGATGATGTGCCTAATGTGAACGAACCGCTGGGCTTTCATTCTGATTTCGAAACTGGGCAAGTATGATGGGTGGGGCTTGCTGACAACTTCTCCCAGACAGTTCTTCCGCCAAAAGCCTTAGAGGCTCGATGGATTTTTGATTACCAGTCCAAAATCTGTTACATCTTCTACAAATCGCCGCTTCAGAAAGGAGTTACTCCTTCTAATGGTGTAGAAGAAAGTCATTATCTGGCTAGCTTTTCCTTATTCTCTACGAAAATTAGTTGCTCTGTTAAAGTGTGATAAATCCGTTTTCGATAAACCATTATTAAGGGCATTTCCTATCTTCACCGCTCTTCACTGAAATTTCACGGCTTTCTCCAATCGAAAGAATTGCTTAGTTGGCGATCACTGGGAAGTGAA